GGGAATCCTGACCCACGGAGATTGCACTCACGCCCAGAAGCAGCTCATCCTGAGGTCCCCTAGAAGGCGTTTAGAGCTCTGCCACCCACAGGCGGTTCCACGTTCCTCAATCCAGGCAACGGGGCCAAGAGCACCGGGCTAGGGGAGGGGGTTCCCGTGTGCTGAGAGACTGCTGACTCCACCTTCCTGCCTTTTGCAGGCACAGTGATCTTGGGCAAACGCCTTCCTCCTTATCTGTGAAATGGGGTCCACCAGCATCATCGTGGAGAAGAAGTGAGCCAGAGCCCAGAAAGCTGTGTCTTGCTCATAGCCGCCATTCAGTAAGCGCGGGAGGTTATTTTTAATGATCGTTCTTCCAGAACCTTATTTTCCCTGTGCTTCATTTTCCTTCGCAGACTTTCAAATTATCTTATTTCTGAGATATTTTAAAGATCTTGGTAAGCTACCTTAAAAGTCTTTTCGGAACAAGATGGAATCTTTAAAGCTTATGCTCATGTGCTCTGACCGAGCACGAGAAGAATCTGTGCCAGCCGAGAAGAGCCCCGCCCCACCACTGCTAGAGTGCAGGGTGAAAAGCATTTTCATCTTCAAGATGCTCATCATCACTAATTATTAGAGATGTGTGAATCAATACTATAATGAGGTACCACCTCACACCGGTCAGAACAGCCATCATCAAAAAGTCTATGAATAACAAATCCTGGAGAGGGTGTGGAGAGAAGGGAACATTTCTACACTCTTGGTGGAAATGTATGTTGGTGCAGCCACCATGGAAAACAGTATGGCGGTTCCTTAAAAAAAGCTAGAAAATAAAGTTGCCGTTTGAGTCAGCCATCCCACTCTTGGGCATATATCCAGACAGAACTCTAACTGAAAAAGATACATGCACTCCTATGTTCATAGCAGCACTCTTCACACTTGCTGAGACATGGAAGCAATGTAAATGTCCATCGAGAGAAGAATGGATAAAGAAGATGTGGTACATATATGCATGATGGAATACTACTGAGCCATAAAAAAGAACAAAATAATGCCATTTTGCGGTAACATGGGTGGGCCTAGAGATTGTCATACTACGTGAAGTAAGTCAAAGAGGAAGACAAATACCATATGATACCACTTACACTTACAGAATCTAAAATACAACAAAGATGAACATATCTGTGAAACAGAAATGGACTCACAGACACAGAGAACAGACGGGATTGCCAGGGGTGAAGAGGGTGGGATGGACTGGGAGTCTGGGATTAGCAGAGGCGAACCATTATAGAGGATGGATAAGCAACAAGGTCCTTCTGTATAGCACAGGGAACTATATTTAATTTTCTGTGATAAACCATAATGGAAAAGAATGTGAAAAAGAATATATGTATAACCGAATCACTTTGCTGTAGGCAGAAATTAACACAACATTGTAAATCAACTATACTTCCACAAAATAAATTAAAAAGTAGATACCCCAAAACAACTATTTTCATCTTTAGTAGAGTCTCTCTCTCAGGACTAACAGAAAAATATTTAGAAAAGCGGATGACGTGAGGTGATAAATATTCGTTGAGCATCTGTATTCCCCAGGCACAAGCCTAGCTGCCGAGGATAGAGGGCTTTGAGAAAGTCCTTGCTGCTATGGAATCTCACTCTGATGCAGGAGAAAGAGAATAAACAAATGATGCAGTACTGGAGAGGGAGGGGGTTTGAAGAAAAATTAAGTGAAGGGAGGGGAGTGAGAATGACAAGATGCCATAGGCAGGGGACAGGCAAGGGGTGTTTGCACAAGGCCTGAGTGAAGAGGGGAGAATCGTGCAGGTATTTGAGGAAGACTATTCTGGAGAAGAGGGCAACAGAGGATGAGATGGTTGGATGGTATCGCCGATTCAATGGACATGACCTTGGGCGGACTCCGAGAGATGGTGAGGAACGGGGAGGCCTGGCGTGCTGCAGCCCATGGGGTCGCAAAGAGTCAGACATGACTTGGCAACTGAACAACAATAACAATAATTCGGGGCCCAGGGAGCAGCTGTGCAAAGGCTCCGTGGGCAGCTCACTTTACTCTCACAACTGGCCTGACTCTCAGGAGTTCTGATGAAGAATAAGGACGTGGAATCCTCCTGCATTTATGAACCACGTCCTCAGGCGTACTGCAGGTAAGTGTTGACACTGTGTATGTAGAGGGAAATATCTGGTCACAATACAGTGTGAACACGAGAGGAAAATCCAGCAGGCACACGAATTGTCATACAGCTTCAGGATGAAGACACATGCGACGTGTGGTCGTAAAATGACAGCGTTTTTACAGTTTCCAAAGCAGAGAGAAACACAAGTCTTTGTGTTCCTACCCTGGAAATGAGGCACTTCAGTCGTTTGGGAAGCTTGTCTCATAACTGATTCAGTGCCTGCTGCCCGTGTATTTTGCCAGGACTGGAAAATATGTGTCCAAATGTCTATGTACTCACTTAAAAAAAAGCCTAGGCATGCTCACTCACTCTGCATTGGAGACCGAGATAAGCTGGCATTTCCAAACACAGCCTAGCAGTCAGATATTGCAGCGTCTCTCTGAATTCGCCCTCACTTCTGTTTCAGACAGAGCCACTCATCTGAAGCAGAGGCCGCGTGGGGCCCGCTGTCCCATTTTGCAGGTGAGAGAACAAGGTCAAGAGTGAGGGGAGGACACCCAACCCCCCGCCAGCTGACCGCCCGTCGCTAGGGCTGGGGATTCATCTCGAACCGCGTCACAGGCTCCCAGTTGCCTCCCAGTATTTATTCCTGGCCTTTTTCTCCATAAGAGAATTCCTAGTTTTTTACCCGGCATGTGTTTACCCAGAAAAGAGATGGCATGGCTAGGCTTCCCTTACAGCTTGGTATGACCACTGGGCATGAGTCAAAAGCGTGTGGGTAACTTCCGTGGAGGGAAAGTACCCTTCTCTGCCATTTCTCTTTCGTGTACTGGAACACAGATTTGATGGCTTGAGCTCAGGCAACCATCTTGGGCCACGAGGAGGATGCCTTTGCTGAGCATGGCAGAGTGGTCTGAGCGAGGGACCCCTGGTTTCTGGATGTGTTTATGAAGCCCCCGCCAACCCTTCCGGACTTCTCTTATAGGAGAGTCACTTTTTAAAGAGAGCTTTTTCTGTCCTTTGCTGTTGGGCCAACAGAGACTTTCCCTGGCTCTCCGCCCCTCTGCCATGTGGCTGTTTGTGCAACTCTCTCATCACGATCGAGAGGAAGAACAGCCCCGAGAAAGGGGGCATGAACCGTGCGAGGTCACCGAGCTTCTCTTACATAAACACTCACTTCAGACCTGCACAGGATAATTGCTAAAGCAAACAGGCCCTGCCTCCGGGGCGGCGGCCAAGACCTGTGGTCTGAAGAACATTTCCCGACAGGGTGTTCATGTGACCACTAATCAATGAGGCTGGTGACGCTTTGAAGGCCTTTGCCACTGTGGCTGCTGTCAGCCCAGCTCTGCCCCACTCTACCCGGGGACACGCTGTAGGGCCCCGTGGGGACCCACCGGCTCTGAGAAGATACTTCCCTGGAGGGCCAGCCTCTGGGGCAGCTGGAGACAGTGATTCAATATGCTCTGGCCAGGCTTCTGCTATGAAGCATCACCCGTCCCCAGGAGCAAGAAGGTCCTTTAAGCTCTCCTTCTGCCCTTCCTTCCCTCCCTCTCTTCCTCCTTGTCTTCATTCCCTGTTGGCAGAGATTTTCTTTGAGACCCTAAGCGTACTAGAGTGTACCCCCGTTGCCATAATCGCCTCTGACCTTCAGCGACTCCTCCCTCCTCACAGAGACCCCTCCTCTGATTGCTGAAGAGTGACGTCTTTCATCCTGGCCACGTTACTGCCATCGGGGTCTCCCAGAGCTCCCTAGCTGCCTTTCTCCTTACCCTACAACCCCACAGCGGCATTTCACGACCTCTCCGCTTTGTGGAAAGAGAGACACAATTTCCCAGTAGAATCAGATGCTCAGGGCCTCACTCCAGAGAGGATATAGAGGCAGCAGATAAGTGTGGATCTTCTTGGGTCCAGTATCAGACGAGAAGCCTCACCACGGAAAATGCTGCCATTGACGTCCTGTGTTTCGAGGAGGCCTCTGCTGTGGGATGTGCCTGATTCACAGACGAGGATGCTGAGAGTTGAGAGTTTGACCCGTGCATGCTAAGTGGCTTCAGTGATGTCCAACTTCATGTGACGGAATGGACTGGAACCCACCATGCTTCTCTGTCCATGGGATTCTCCAGGCAAGTATAACGGCGTGGACTGCCATTTCTTCTCTAGAGGATCTTCCCGACCCAGGGATCAAAACCCACATCTCTTATGTCTCCCGCATTGGCAAGTGGGTTCCTTACCACTCGCGCCACCTGGGAAGCCCCAGATCACACCAGCTAGGCAGTTCTGGGACTAGGATTCAGCCCTGAGTCAGACCAGATCCCTTGCGGCCCTTCCCAGCCTCCACTCTGGGAGGAAGTCAGCACATGTGGCCCTGAAAGGGAAACCCTGGGTCTCTGGTGAACAGCTGGAGAAGGAAAGTTTCTCACTGCCGTCAGGCACCTCCACCCCTTGCCAGGGACCCTCCCCACGGCCCCCACACTAGACAGCAAGATTGTCCCTCAGCTCTCTGATATCCTGCAGTGGTGCCCGTTTCCACCCAGCCAGTAGTTGCCAAGAAAGGCTGGTGCTAACTTTGTTTATACTAGGGTGTGACTGACTGATACATGTCTGACCGTTTTCCTTTGGGGATACCCGCTTTCTAATAAAGGTCTCTGAGGACCTAGAGCTTAGTGACAAAGGAATGGAGATGGAAGGATGCGGCTTCCAAAGCATAAGAGATCTTCCCAGGGAACCCTTGCAAGTTACAGCCCTGTGCTGCCAGCAGGAAGGTAACCTACGGCCGGGTCACAAATCCATGGGCTGTGCAGTTAGCATAGGAGTATCACTCACTAGGCAGCTCCTGGACAGAAATTTTGCCCGAGAAACGCTCCTGGCAGAGTGGAGGCGCCCTCAGCGAGCCCAGGGATTTACACACTCATCTTCTCTAAATGTAGATGGAGCAGACCACTGCATCTCAGCCCTTTCCTGAAAGGACCCCAGCAGCAGCCCCTCCTCCCTGCCTTTGATGTCACCCTTGATCTCGTCTGGCCATCCCACCCTGAACACGCCTGGTCTCATCTGATTGGGAGCTGAGCCGGCTTGGGCCCGGTTAGTACTTGGAGGGGAGACGCCCTGGAAATAGTGGGTGCTGCAGGCTTTGGGGCTTCCCTGGAGGCTCAGATGGTAGGAAGTCCACCTGGGTTTGACCCCTGGGTCAGGAAGATCGCCTGGAGGAGGGAATGGCAACCCACTCCAGTCTTCTTGTCGGGAGAATCCCATGGACAGAGGAGCCTGGTGGGCGACAGTCCATGGGGTTGCAAAGAGTTGGACAGGACTGAGTGACTAATTCTTTCTTTCTTCTTTCTCTATCAAAACTCTCCTGTGCTTGCTCTGAGAATCGGCGTTTCCCACAGTTCCTGGAGTGGACTCCTCCTGCCCTTCTGTGGGCATCAGGCCAGCCCCTCCCACCAGGAAGGCAGAGCGATGCCCCCACCGCCGGGGGGGGGGCACGGAGGAGGAAGTGGGTCTCGGGTCAACCTCAGGGCAGGGATCTCCAGGGCCTGGCGACCCTTGGCAGCGGGCTGAGGGCCCCTCTGGACGTCCGATTGCTCAACTCACATTCCTCCTCCCTCTGGCTCAACTCTCAGACACTTTGAGAACAAACCAAAAATAAAAATTTATCCTTTTCCAGCTAATTCACTCGTTTTTGCAAAACCGCACCCCATCCCCCCTCTGTCCTTGTAACTTGTCCCCCACAGGAGGCCAGAGAGCCATTCCTGGGGGGTTGTGTTCCAGCTTTGGCCAAGGAAGCCCTGTAGACTCTGACCTCTGACCTCCATGGGAAAGCACAGAACGGGGGCCACTGAGAGCCGCTTCCATGCCCTCTCTCCTACTGGAGAGGCCGCCCCAGCTCGGGTGATGGGGCTCCCTCTGAGGGCCGAGGGGGCAGTGAGTCCACCTCCTCATTCCTCATCCTTACCTCCACTCATTCACTCGAGACAGAGTGATGTCATTCATTCATTCAATCACTAATCCAAGGACGGAGTGGGGAGTGCTGGTCAGACAGATCCAAGGCTTGGCATTGCTGGCTGACTTCCTCCACAGCAAGCAGAGGACTCTGTCTTCAGAGAGACCCCCCACCCTCCCCAGAGCCATCTGGCTAATCCCTGGTTGCCAGGACAGCCTCAGAGTCCCGGTCCCACCAAGCAGGCCCTCCCTAGGGACCGTCGGAAGGACGCCAATGGCTTGAGAGGGCGGGGTGAACCAACCTTGGTCTTTGCCCACCAGGTGGGGCCTTGCCAGGCAGACGGAGCCCCTCCAAGCACAGGAGGCCTCGGAGAGGGTCCCTCCCAGCCCCAAGGCCACGAGCCGTGTGACCCACAGGCCAGCGACCTCGCCTCTCCCGGCCCAGCCTTACCCTCTCGTGTGAAACGGGGTCACGACAGCGTGTGGTGGGGACCAGGCCTCGTGCTTAGCACCCCTGACACATCTCAGCTCTAGTGTTTCCCACCCCAGGGTGCCGTGGGGTGGCTACTCCTATTGGGCCTATTTTACTGATGAGAAAACCAAGGCATGGAGGGTCAGGCAGTTCGCATCAGGGCCAACCTTGTGGACCCCCATGAAGCACGGGGGCATGTCAGCCTGAGTGCTCAGCGGAACATCGGGTGCTCGGTTAGCACGTCATACTGGCGGTGCGGTGGCTCTCGGTGGGGACTCCGGGCCACGTCTGGGGACGTTCGGAGTCGTCACCACAGAGGCAGATGCTGCTGGTCCCCAGGGGGTGGAGGTGGGGTGCCTCTCAATGCCCGGGAAGGCCCAAGGCAGCCCCCACAGCCAGAGTGACTCAGCCCCAAGTGTCAACAGGGCCAGGTGGAAAAGCCAGGTCTCTGCTCCCTGTTCTCAAGAAGGGGCTTCCCTCCTAGAGAGGGTCTTGCATGAACATTCCCACTGTCGCCTGCCCACCCTGGAGGCGCACCCCCAGCCCCGAGTCAGGCTGGGCTGACCATCACAGGATGCTGGGGTCTCTGGGACCTCCCTGGACCTGCGCAGGGTCTCGGAGAGCAGACGGGGTGTCCAGCCTGGGTTGGGCAGGGAGCAGTGTCCCCCAGCCCCCCATCCCATGGGGGGCCCCCTACTTACTCGCTAGCAGAAGGTCCACCGCTCTCTCCTCCATCCGAGCGCGTCCCGGGCGCGGGCCTCAGGTGGGTGCTGGCTTCCTGCGGCGGGTCGGGGCACCTCTACACTGGAATCTCAGGTGAGGGGGTAGAGGCCACTCCAGCGGGCCAGCAGAGTTTGCAAAATGAGTCAGCTGGCGAGAGGGCTCAGAGCGTGTGGGTTAATCATTAACGCACGGCTTGGACACATCCCTGGGATCCAAACGGACCCCTGCCTCATGGCATCCGCCAGCCCTGACCACCTGTGGTCGTGGGTGACCCACTCATCAGGGTCCTCTTCGTCTGATTATCTGCTCAAGGGGAGGAGCAGTGCCCAAGGATCCTGTATCCCTTCATCCGTTCATTTTCAGCTCTGAAGAGGCAAGGTTGTTGAAGGAGAACGGTCCTGTCTCGCAGTGGACACTAACCCCTGGCCAGCAGCAGCGCCTCCAGATCACCCAGCTGTGCTTCTCTGAGCATCTGCTCTGTTCCCCATGCTGTGCCAGGCACTCAACAACAACGTGCACGCCCTGCAAATGGAGGGCTGTGTGCCTCTGTTTCACAGGGGAGGGGGTGAGGTCCAGGCAGGTGGCTGTCCAGCGACAGGTCTGGGTGAGAGCCAGGGAGAACGGGAGGAACCGTCTCTGCTGCTGGTGCCTCTGTTTCCCCGGGGGGTCCCGGCAGTGCAGGGTGTGGTGAGGGTTAAGAGGGTCAGAGCAGGAAAAATTCTGAGAACACAGTAAGCATTCAATAAGGGCTGGCTGATTCTCATGTCTCAAGGCCAAGGATCCTCACCTGCCTTGCTGGCCGGCATGTCCGTACGCGGCCGTTTTGGAGGAGCACTTATGCTGGGAGACTCGGCCAAAGGCACAGTGCAGGCCGGTCTCCACCCAGGTGGGTCTGACTCCCAGGGATGAGATCTCTAAAAAGGCTGCATTTGGCCCCTGAGAGCATACTCCTCATCTGGGAGTGGGAATTACACTTCCCTTAGGAGGGCGGGTTTGAAAGCAGCGGTAGCTGGGGGTGCCAGAGGGCTCCCCCCACGGGCCCCAGGCCGGCTGCCCGGTGTCCCAGCTCACCATCAGCACAGACCTTGCTCAGAGCAGGGGCCAGGGGCCAGTCGCTGTCTTGATCAGAGAAAGGGTGTGACGGTGTGGATGGTGGGGGAGGCAGGGGGGCAACCTGGGGGTGGGGGAAACTGGGACAACAGGGAGAATCTTGGGGGTGGCAGGGCAGGAAACTGAGGACCGATTTGCTGTTGGTCTCCCCAGAAATCAACTCTGGGCTCAAGAATTTTATCGCAAAGCTGGTCCCGGCTCACCTGGCCACTGCAAACCCATCCAGCACTAGCTCACGTGAGACTCAAGGGCAGAAAATTGGAGGCTGCTGCTGGTGAGAGATGCAATAGCAAATTTCATTCATTCATTCCTCATTCACTTGCTCACCCATTCATTCGTTCACTCGTTCATTCTTCCTTCCAGGAAACATTTCCTTCTGCGTCCAGAAAGGCTACTTTGGGGTAGAGAAAAGAGATGAAAGTAACCTTGCTCCTGACAGCAAGCAGGGCGTGGGGGCAGTGCAGGGGGTCTCGTGGGGAGAACGTCAGGTTCAAAACTTCGCTTTGGGAGGTGAGACTGATGCTCTTCTGTTGTCCCCATTTCGCCAGAGCCATGCCCCCATCCTGGGCTCTAAACATGTTCTACGTGGACAGCGCCGGGTCACAGCGATGCTGCAGAATCCCCCAGGGGTCCAATTTTCTCAGCTGTAGGTCAGATAGGTCCACACGCAAGGTGCAGATGCCAGCACGTTGAAGCTTTGTTTAGCACTTAAAGCCTCCTAATGGGTTTTCAACATTTACACTTGTCTTATTATTAATACCAATTACTAAGACTCAACCCTGCCAACCGTGTGTCTCCTTTTATAAATACTGTCGGGACAAGGAGGTCACTCATGGCTCTTTGCTGCAGCTGCGGTCTTACTAGCAGAAGAAAATCTGAAATAAATTCTCAGGACAGAAGAAGGCACCTCATGCATGATGCTCTGAAGTTGGCTCTTTAAGAAGAGTCTCTGTTTTTGCTCAGGCCGTGGAATAAAATTTTTAGAGGACCTTTAAATCATGCGCGTGGTGGTTCAAAGCAGGGTTCCGCCACCCGGCTGCCTGGAGGCGAGACGGGGTCACCTCTGGGGTTTGTTAGTGTATTTAAAAAGTGACAAATGGTTGTTTCTATAAGGAACTTAGAACTGGCTTTGGACAGGGTTATTGGATGATGAGGACAGAGGGATGGGGTGGACGGCTTCTCCCCATGCCCTCCTAGCCGCCCGCTTCACGCCACTGTAAACAGTGAAATGTAATATTGCCTTATTTGGTCACGGAGCCAAGGAGTCGGCTGCAGAAGCCTCTTTGCCTTTGACTGTGTGAGGAACAATTACCTCCAAGTCCTCGTTCCATCCGGCTCTGGATGTAGGTGCTGGCTCGGTCCACCTGTGGGCTTCAGGACCCCCAGTCCGGTGTCTGGCCCTGATGGGCTTCTGGTGTAGCTTTCAGAGCTGCTTCCTGGGGTGCTGCCCAAGTCAGGGGATGTGCTCCCCGAATCTGGGGCCCCCTGGGCTTGCAGTAGGCTAGGTGTCTAGGTGCATGGGACCAGGTGTCAGAAGAACTGCCTATTTCTCTGAGGTCTGTATGGAGATGGGTGGATGGCATCACCGACTCAGTGGACATGAGACTGAGCAAACTTTGAGAGATGATGAACTTTGGGGCAGGGAAGCCTGGTGTGCTGCAGTCCACGGGGTCGCAAAGAGTCGGACATGACTGAGTGACTGCACAACAAAACGGATACACAGATTTGAAACAACAAAATAGATTGTTGCCGAGCAGGATTCAGGAGGGCTGGGTGTCCCTGGATTTCTGGGGTGTCCAGTGTGGGCTGGGTGCTAAATCACTTTGGTCGTGTCCAACTCTTGGTGACCCCATGGACTGTAGCCCACCAGGCTCCCCTGTTCATGGCATTCTCCAGGCAAGAGTACTGGAGTGGGTTGCCAGGCTCTCCTCCAAGGGATCTTCCCAACCCAGGGATGGAGCCCACATCCCTTATGTCTCCTGCATTGGCAGGCGGGTTCTTCACCAGT